TTGCTAAACAAACAGATATCCTTTATGGAACATTAAAAGGTGGTTCAACAATGGCTTTTTTTAATAAATCAACATTAACAACATTTAAAATTATGTGGAATTTTATGCAACAACATAAAGATGATGTATTTGTATCGTCAAATAGTGAAGGTATTGAAAAAGTTCGAGGATCAAAAGGTAAATTTGCTTTTTTACTTGAATCAACATTAAATGAATATGTTAATGAACGTGCTCCATGTGATACAATGCGTATTGGTGAAAATATTGATTCCAAAGGTTATGGAATAGCTACACCACTTGGTTCAGATTTACGTGAAGCTCTTAATATAGCTGTTTTACAATTAACTGAAAATGAATTTCTTGAACGTTTAAAACAAAGATGGTATTACGAAAGAAGTCAATGTACAAATTCAGGATCAAAAGATTCAAAACAAACTACACCACTTAATTTAGCTAATGTTGCTGGCATGTTTTATGTATTAATAATTGGTCTTGGAAGTGCAATGGTGATTGCATTTATTGAATTTTTATTTAAAGCTAAACTTGATTCAAAACGTTTAAATCAAAATATTCGTGAAGTTATGAGAAGAAATTTAAGAATATCAATAACTGGTATTGATTTTGATGAAAAATTACATAAAGAAGAATATTTACCATTAAAACAACAACAATTAGTTACTTCATCACCACCATCTTCTCGAAATATTCATCGTAATGAACGAACACCGACTATAGCAAATAAATTTAATTTAACAAAAATCAACAATGACAAAGACGATATATTTCGAGGACATAAACTCAATCATGTTTTTCATGTATAATATTCATTAAATATATATGTATGTATATGTAACTATAAAAACATCCTTTTAAAAAGTTATTATTACAATCCTTGTAGAGTTAAAATATGAAACATGATGTTACTGTCGGTTCTGATCACGAGTAGATTCTTTCATTTTATGTATCTTGATATACATCTCTTCATCCTACTTTTACGTAATTCTCAAGAAATGCAATAAGGCAGTAATTCCTATCATGTTGAAATGTCGTGCGAGAAAATGAATTGAACAATTTTGTAGAGAATTGAAAAACGAATCTTTTTAAAAAAGTTATGTCAAACAGATGAAAAATGGTGACGCTATTGCAAAAATGTCGAAAGAGTCATTCTTTATGGGCCACCCGTTAGTTATTGAAAATGAACAGTTGTTACGTCGAAATGTTTCCATGTATATTAAAATAAAATAGAACGATTTTCGGGAACGTCAATTCTTAACATCGTTTCCATTCCCATGTTCCCATTCCCGTGGAAATGGGAACGGGGAAAATTCGGGAAAAAACCGTTCCCGCAGGACACTACTCCTCTCTCCCCACAGACTGTGACAAACGTTGTTGATATACAATCACATATCTAATATTGATAACATCTGGTTACATGATTAGGGGTGTCACTTTATCTTTACTTTATCAAGTAAAGTAAAGTAGAGTTGCTTTACTTTACCGATAAAGTAAAGTAGATCTACTTTATCCGAAAAGTAAAGTAAAGTAAAGTGAAGTATCTCTAACTTTATCAAACAAGTAAGATGAAGTAAAATAAGATAAAGTAAAGCATGTAGTGGATGATTATTGATTTATTAGTTCATTATCACACGTTAATCACATTCCAATAAGTCAAAAGTTGCGTCGAATTATGGACCGAAAGTCTCGAAAAATTTGAATCTAATTTTATTACTTTGAGAGTCGCAATTGAATCCTGAATATTTTTCATAATTTTATTTTCGATTTTTGTCATAACCCAACTTTTCACATTCGGAGTTCCCCTCAAGTGTCGAAAAAAAATTTTTGTCATTGTTCTATTACAAGTCTTTATAATTCAATAGTACCAAGTGCGCTGATTACAAATATCTCATATGTTTTCAAAAGTACTTATATAATAAGAAAGATCGGAAGCACTCCCTAATACTATTAAAAACTAACTTTGGACCAGAAATTTCATCAAAATACGACCAGATTAGTTTCATCGAAGTCATAATGGGTTTGGTTTGACTAAAAAATCGTATTCTAACGACGCATCCATTGAACGAATCTTTTCGTAACTAAATTTTATGAAATATGGATTATTTAATGGATTAGCCCGAGAATGGCTTTTGGGTTAACCCACAAAATCGCCTGAAAATTTTTATGGGTAGGTCAGAGATGGAATTATATAAATGATCTGCTCAAGCCACTGGTTTGGGTTAGACTGACCAGTGGAAGCGCCAATCCAATGGGTACCCGTACCAATCTAACCCAGTGGACATCTCTGACTTACACAAGCCGACTCAGTTTGCGTGTTAATATCAGATACGACAGTTGTCTGAAGTCAAATGGAATTTTGCTATTTCAAAACCATAGAATATTAGTCAAAAAAGACGCAAACAGAGTCTCAAGGACAGAACTTTGAGCAGAAGTGCTTTACTAGATATGAAATTTCGAGTAGAAAACGGTCTCATCAGAAAGAGTACATTCAGTTGCACATTTGGTAAAGAAATCCAATCGCTGCATCTATAGAACCTCTAGTGTCGTAAGGCTGAAAAAAATATTATGAGATAATATGACCCAATCAGAACGGTATTTGCCAATTCTCGGAAGAAGAAAGTCAAATATTCAACAGGTTCTTATATTCTCTGATAGAGAAACAAATTCTGCATAAAATGAACCTATTTTCGATGAAATAGAACCATATTTTGATGAAATTTCTGGCCCAAAGTTAGTTTTTAATAGTGTTAGGGAGTGCTTCCGATCTTTCTTATTATGTGAGTACTTTTGAAAACACATGAGATATTTGTAATCAGCGCACTTGGTACTATTGAATTATAAAGAATTGTAATAGAACAATGACAAAAATTGTTTTTCGATACCTGAGGGGAACTCCGAATGTGAAAAGTTGGGTTATGACAAAAATAGAAAATAAAATTATGAAAAATATTCAGGATTCAATTGCGACTCTCAAAGTAATAAAATTAGATTCAAATTTTTCGAGACTTTCGGTCCATAATTCGACGCAACTTTTGACTTATTGGAATGTGATTAACGTGTGATAATGAACTAATAAATCAATAATCATCAACTACACGCTTTACTTTATCTTATTTTACTTCATCTTACTTGTTTGATAAAGTTAGAGATACTTCACTTTACTTTACTTTACTTTACTTTATTTTTCGGATAAAGTAGATTTACTTTACTTTATCGAGTAAAATAAAGTAGATTAACTTTACTTTACTCGATAAAGTAAAGTTAATCTACTTGACTTTATCGGTAAAGTAAAGCAACTCTACTTTACTTTACTTTACTTTATTAAAGCAAAATAAAGTTAAAGTGCCACCCCTAATTTCAATGCGCTTTTACTTTTAGATAATGAAAAGTAAAGACGTCAGAAATATCGTACTTTCAAAATACCAAAACGCTGACGATATAACAAAAAATTTTTGGAATTTTAACGGCTCAATTAGCTTTAAAACAGTAAAACGATGGTGTTGTATGATAAATCAGACTGGCTCTATCGAACCATCATATTCTTCAAGTTGCACAACCGAAAAGTTTTTCCAAAAGTCATGGTTTGATTAGGAATGTGTTTAAAATGTGTTAGACCACTAGCTATTTTCGATGAAAACACGATAGATCATGTTTCATCTATTAAGGAAGTGTTTCCAACGACATTGAAATATAGCAATAAAGTATGTGGACACAATTAGATATATCAATAAGAAGGTGCGAAGGCACATATTCATAAATTAACACAATAATGGTGCAATGACAATGTTTTGTTTGGCAAAAAATGGCTCTATTTACTGACGTTAATAAAATTAGATAGCTTTGTAGAAAATTGAAAGACGAATCTTTTAAAACAATTTAGATCAAACAGATGAAAAATGGTGACGCTATTGCAAAAATACCGAAAGGATCATTCTTCATGGGCCACTCGTTAATTGTATTTTTAGTTTATTTAATAACACGTCGCGAGAAGCTAGTATATGGCAATGAGACCAAGGCAATGACACTTTTTTTCATAGATGAATAGGGATTCAGAAAACCTTACGGGAATGGGAACAAAATATTTTTTTCGGGAATGGGAATGGGAACAACTTTTTTTCGCGGGAATGGGAAATGGGAATCAAGAAAAGTTGTTCCTGCAGAACTCTAGAGAGGAGATCGAATTTTTACTTCTATACTTCAACATTCCTTTTAGATCATGTTTTACGAAATAGACTGGTATTAAGGCCAAGGGAGAAAAAGCTGATTGTATGATTGCTTTGATTGTCAATGATTGCTGATGATTGCCAATGATTGTCAATGATTGCTGATGATTGCCAATGATTGTCAATGATTTCTTTGATTGCAATCAGCTTTTTCCCCCTTGATTAAGGCTCATATCTCTCCAAAACCGATCTTTGATGTGGTACATTCAAATCGCTTGAAATTTTCAGAATATATGTTAGAAATGTAGTGGAGAAGCTACATTAAAATTTTCCATTTTATTACGTAATGTTTTGTGTAGATATTAATCAAACAAAGGTCGAAAATAGCTCATTGGACAACTAAAAAATCGCTGCAATCCCTCATTCTATATCTTTTTTTTTTTTCGTTTGAAACAACATGTCAAGATTCCAATCATGACAGAGTCTTTTTTTAATTCTTGCTTTTTAAGCGGAGAAAAGTGCAATGTCAAGAAAAAAAAACTGGCGATCTAATTCTGAATATGCTCTTTTAATAGCAACTAAGCTTAATCGAAAAAAAAAGAAATTCTGTCATGTCCTGCATCTTGACTTGTTCTTTCAAGCAAAAACAAACTTACATACATAGAATGAAGGCCGATACAGTATTCTGGGTTGCGTGATCAAAGAAGCCAAAAAAGATTTATCGCCTACTAAGTTTTTTAAGGTAGAAACGCTTGACATTAATTCAATTCAACAGCGTTTTGTTGAATAGTAAATTTATTGACAAAATAAAATAAAGATTATTTAAACAGCATAATATCCTTTATCCATTGGACTATATTCATCATAATGCAATACACTCATATCTTGTAATATTAGAGTGATATTTTGATAGTGATGAATAACTATTTCAGCAAATGCATGACGTTTCGAGTTCATACAAATCGCTTCTATATGTATTTGAGTATGTTTTGGTAAATAATGAAAAATAACTTCACCAAAATAATTCGTATAATATTCAAGAGTGATATGTGAATAATCGACTAATTCTAAATGAACTGATATATTTTCAACAGGTTTATGTTGTTGATCTAAAACAGTAACTTTTAAAGATTGAGTACCCGATGCAATGTCAACTGATTGATAATATTCAATATTTTGTATTTCATCAAGAAGTACAACATCTAAATGATGAAATCCATCTGATAATATCATTGTAATAGTTGATGTTTGTAATGGTTTAGATAATTGTACAAGAATAGCATTATTATCAATAATAGATAAAATATTTGAATCCATAATATGGGTATTAAAAGTAAGATAAACACGAGATGGATTAAATGAATTGATCATAATACCAGAATAAATTAATATTTTCGATAATCGTAGTCGTTTAGAAAATGATAAAATATAGTACCAATAAGTAAATAAGTTGACAATTAAAAATAGTATAAAACAAATAATAATTACATTCGAATAATATTTTGCCATAATAGATTTTTATAACCAATAAAATTCAAACTGATGGCGAACAAAATTTATAAAGTTAGCAATTTCATATCTAACAAAAAAGAAGCAAGATTATATTTAGTTAAATACTGAATACAAGTTATAAATAAAAACTGTTAGCAGAACTTTTGTGGAATTAAAAATGTGCAACAAAGTGGATCTGCATATATTATAAATCAAAAGACTTTATAACATATACTTTGGTTTGTAACTCCTAACATACTGATATGTCCGTGATGGTAGATGGTATTGGTAATCTGTTACAGTGAGTGTGAAACGGAGGCCAAATACAAGTAGCTTAAACTCAATTTTCTTTCATAATAATTCTATAGTAGACTTCATTTTAGTGATTGTACCTATGATGGAAAACAAAGTTTCTAAAGGTTATACTATGGTCTGTAAGGGGAGGGAGCGTAGACATTTCAATCCTTTGAATTCAACAATACCATTTCTATATCTTGAATTTTTTGCTGAGTTGTAGAAGTGTCTCATATAGTTGAATGTATGCTGAAGGAAAGAGAAAACGACAACCAATAATATATTTTCATAGGCAGAATGTTGTTGAAAAGTGGCTGTGAGTTTTTTAACATTAACAAAGAAAGAGATTAAAAATATTCGTAAGTAGTTTTTACTTCGTTTTTGGTCTGTTAAAATGAAACAGTACAGCAGCCGACATATTGTTTTTTGGGGTTGCAGAATAATTGTTTATTTTAAAAGGTATGTGAAGTCTTACATAGAATGAGATACCAGTGCTCAATAGGACAATTAAAATAGTATTAAACTATATTCTAAAGTTCTGAAGAATACGTTTTTCTTTGCTCTGACAATATTAATAGAGTTTTTCAATCGAAGTGATAATGAATCAAATTGATATCATTAGGAAGTAGACAAAGCAAAAGACACGTTCTATCTGTCATGAAAATCCAGAATGTAGTTTTGAATAAAATCAATGGACATTGTCTGAAATGATTTTTCTTCTAGTATTCTCAGGAGCGCGATTAAAAGCATCATTTGATTCTTTCAAAAGTTAATGCATGCTAGATGAAAATTCGGTATTAAGCAAACAAAAACAAACCAAAGGTTTATGAGAGTTCAACTCTCACAGTATAAGAAAAAAGTAAGTGAGATAGTGAAATCAAGCTAGAGTCAACGTTAGCAAAGCGAGTACTCTAGAGAGGTATGTGTATTTCATCAGGTATATTTTGATTATTTTACGATGTACATGTTTATACCACGTGAAAGAGATTTGATTTATGCATCGATTCAAGTAAAGATACAAAAAAATGTTCAAGCTACTGTAATAACTGAGTCATTAGTGAAAAAAAATGATACATCTTAAATATTCGCTTTATTTACCATGTTGTTCAAATGAACGCACTAGTTATTTCGATTAGAGATAAAATGCTGAAAAGCATTTCATTCACTTCTGTTTTTCAAATTCAAAGTTCATCGTAATGCCTGTCGACAAGTATCTTTAGAATGCTTATAACTATTACTAATAAGCTGTTTAAACAAGCTTGATGTCTACTTTGTGTTTTGTACTGATCTTCCTTTTATCATATGTCTTTCATGATAAAAAAAAACTAAAAAGGGTAATTTGCAAGTAAAACCAGTATAAAGACAAGTACTAGTTAGCAAAACATAGAAGTTGTACAGTAATATCTAACTTGAAAGTTGAATTTAATTCAACTTTCAATTTTCAATCATCGATATGTAATTTCTCTCAACATTTTCCTTGTACCCCTTAAAATTATAAAAACATCACAAACTTTTAGATCATGTTCTAGTCTCACTTGAACTTTACTAACTTCGATGTCAGCTTGAGTCTGGAATCTATCAATAACTTTCCGGAGTACTTTCATTGAAAGAGATGGTTTGTACATGTATTTCTGTGAGAGTTGGACAATATCCCTCAGAAGTAGGAGATAGTTTCGTTGCCAGTAGAAATGTTTTACCCTGCAAAAAAATCAAGCCAAAACAATTTTTTTTAAGAAACAGCATCTTTTGTATTAGATTGTTCGCAATAGAGTAAATTCAATGCTCACAATAGAGAAAACATTCGTCTTTTTCTACCTTCATCAACAGAACTCAAAAAGACTCAAGAAGAATGCAACCATATTAATTTTTCATTTTAAGAGGATACTGTACTAGAAATGAATTTTTTCTAGCGGACATGTAAATATTTGTAGTAAAAATCGTTCATACATTCCTATCTTGTTTAGAGACCCGAGAGAGCTCTCAATTCAATGAACCGATTCTTTTTGGAGAATTGTGTCTAGGAACACTTCTACTTTTAGAACTGAATCAAATGACTAGTGCGTTTTATTTTTAGAATTGAGTCTTTCTATTCTAGCACTAAGTTTCTGTTAGCTTCATTCCAACATATTTGTGCAGTCCACAAGTATGACCCCGAATGAAGCAATTATAAATTTAATGAGAACGTTAAAATGAGATACCTGATGGTACCAGTTTGTTCATCAATAACTGCTATACAAATCATTTTCTATCAAAAGAACTATTGGGACCATTTTCAAGATTGGAGTTGATATGGAACTGTCGTAGGTCTATTGGTAAAGTAGACGTGGAAAATGAAATATAGCGCATGAAATAGGGATCGCTAGATATATTTTCATAGTCTTTCGTTCTATCTTTCTTTGTTGATACACAGCATGATTCACTCATTTTTACCAATTTTCTTCATCTTACTGTATTCCTACAAAAGGTCTGATATTTCGTATTTTTATATGGTTAAGTAGAGCACTTATTATTCTATCCAACCACACATTTTTTATTTGATTTAGTCATCATCGTAAAATAAAATTTAATCAACTCCAACAGCAGTCAAAAAAGATGTTTCACTTGTTTTTTTTCTTGCCTTTCGTTGTTTTTCTTAACTATTTCTGATTACCTAAGGAACTGAAAGTTTTTCATTGAAATATGGTTTTACAGAGTGTTCATTTCTCGAGCAAACAACGTCATCAGAGTTCAGTTTAGTTGAGCGTTTGTCATAAATTTTAAATTCTACGATAAGAAGAAAAACCTGCTTTTTTTCACTTTTCAAGGAAAAACGTCAATTGATGAAGTGTTTAAAAATTAATACTGAAGTTTCTTCGATAACTACAAGGTGATATCATGCCATACTTTATGCAGCTAACAGTTTGATGATACTCTTCAACTACAAACCACTTACGCACTAACAAGATTTATACTTATTGAAATATTGTAATTGGTATAAACTTTCATTATGCAAAAGCTTTTTTAAAACCCTTTTAGAATTCGTTGATTTTTTTTTCAAACACCGATGATTACTAAATTAGATAAAAATGATAAGAGTAGATAAAAAAATGAATATTCTATTCGAACATATAAAAATATACAATATCACACCTGCTGTTGAGATAAAGTAAGCTGAATAAAACTGGTAAAAATAAGTAAATCATAGTGCATTTCTTTTGGACAAATGAAACGTTAATGATACATATTTATATTCTTTTTTTCATTTCTCCTTGATATGTGTAAATTTATGTAGAAAAAAACCCTTTCTGCATAAACGGGACTCATTTTCTCATCGATTGGTCTGATTAACCACTGCTGCGTTATCGATTCTCATTTTGAGTTCAATCAAATCTTTGTGTCTGTCGTATACTCATTACTTTTCACTTCATATTTCTTAAGAAGTCATTTAAACAAGAGCAGGCCAGTCCGAAAAAATTGAATTCTTCTTGATTGCTGATGTTCTCTAACATTGACATCAAAGTCACATAATCATAACTAGATTTTGAGAATTATTTCGTGAACTTGTTGAACAAAGTATACTAGTATATCTTCGTTGTGAATTACTTAGTCACGATTTAGTCCGTTATTGTTCCTGAAATAAAAGTGGCAGTCTTGTCAGCTAGAAACACTCAATAGTGACTTTTTTCACAAACATTATGAACGCTATCGTTTTTTATTGTATTTTTGCATGCATTTCAGATTTCTCTCGATGTGCTACTAATTCTACAGTTTTTTTTTATTTAACACTGAATTTTGAAAAAAAAGAGATACTTTCATTTCAACAACGGCGGAGATCCAGAAGTTTAACAGAGACACTGAGTCTCTTCATTATGATGGATAGCGAGTCTGTTGAAACCCACACCAAGTATACTTTACGCAAACATAATTCACGCTTATTCGATGCTCCTTATCAGCATTGAAAACTGTATCGCACTGCTAAGCTACTTCACGACACACACGTCTTTCAGAGACATGCTATAGTAAACTATAATTCATAGTAGATAAATATATACTTCTTATTTTCAGCAGTGCGGGTGTTCTGGAGTCACTATATGTTTCTCACAGTAAATCTCATAGTAAACACATAAATACCCATCAGAGGCTTGCACTGTGTCTAAAAAAACGAGGCATGAGCGGCGGAAAAGATCACATAAACCTTACAGAAGCAATGGCGACCATCGCTCCGGAAGTCTTTTCGTTGAGCGAGATGGTCGCTCTGCGCTTTTTTCAAGTATGAAGCACGGTCATTCCAACCTAATTGAATAATCTTTTTGCAGATTTTTTCCATCAGTTTATCGCATCAATTTTTTCTGAATAAATACTACCTCATTTATTAACATTTACATATGAATCACCACATAATACTAATAGAACTATATTCATAACTTTTGGTTCTTACGCCAGTGGAGACAAGTATGGAATGAAAGTACTCATTAAAATCAATATTTCGATATCAAATTCAACTCGTTACTATACAGTTTTCGAGACCTTCACTTATGCACCAAAATGTCATACATTCAGTATTTAGACGTAAAATACATATGCATTTTCCCACACATTTTAGTTTTTACCATTCGACCAAACATTTTTCTTATCTTATCCATTCGATAGAACTTTTCAAGCGCTACAAAAATCTATATTTTGCAAAGTCAAACAATTCTGACCGCTTGAAAACGTTATTATCACACTATTCTTCAGGCTCAGTTTATTATCTTTATAATCCATATTTAGATGATTTCAATCAGAAGAAGCTATATTTGCATGAAAATTAATTTAATAATCAGAGTCAGCATAAAACAGTGAGTTGGTATACGTGTAATTAAAAGGCCTTGCAGAATCATTTTCTTCATCGACTTTTATGGAAACATTGAAAATTATCGCCAATACTGTCTACATCTTAAGTCTGTGCCAATGTTAGATTTCAGTCTTCTTGTCACAACTATGCGTGACTTGAATTTCGATCTTACCGAGAGTCAGACAAACAATAGACGAAAACTCGTAAAAACGCGTTGAAATTTAAGCGGAACTAAATTCCGAAAAAAATCACGTTTTCAGTGATTCAAAACGCGTAACAGCTTACGACCGAATATATTTTCGTTCAAGAATTTTAACGCGTTCGGTATTTCAATGAAGTGTATTCGAAGAGAGGACAATTATATCCTATAGACTTCGCTTACTTAGAGTATAATTCAAATAATTTCTCATAAGAATTCAATCTTGTTACCATCTTGCACAAGTAACGTTTTAGTTTAACGTTTGATTTATAGAAGTTCATATCAAGTTTCAAACTCTTTCGAGTATTAAATTTTTATATACATAGTTTCTTATCAAAATTACAATAAAAAGTCATTCTTTACAAGATGATAACAAGATAGATTTCTTGTAAGAATTCGTGTAAATTTTCCTTCAAATAAGAGAACTATATGAACTATGATTGTTCCCTTTTGAGATACACACCATTGAAAAATCGAACGCGCTAAAAGTCTTGAACGAAAATATATTGTAATGATGAAGGTTAGGCTTGCCTACTATTTTGTGTTTATCGTGTGTTTTGTCCTCATCATGCACTTCACTCTTACTCTAAGTTTTTTCCTAATCTCGCAGTATTATATTTCACATCGTTATATTATGATATTTGCTTAGTTTTGATGCTTGCGTATATAAAACTTAGAAACATATGTATGTAGATGTGATTTATAATATGAAGAAGCCAAATAAAGTGTAATTCCATCTTCACTAACCCTTCTTCTATCTAAAAATCGTCACATATAATTGCGTTCAGATGCTTTTATGCGTTTTGAACGAGTTAAAATATGCACTCTTTAGAAGTTTATTTTCATTAAAAGTCCGGTCAGTTTTTTTAACTATTTGTCTGAATGGATTATACTAGATTGATAAAATTTTGTATTGTAATTAATGTTAATAAGATATTGCTGGAGACATTGTTTATGTTTAATGAACATTTTCATATTAATTTTTGTGCTTCTATTATGTTACAATTATCATATTAAACAAAATAAACTTCTATCATTAAAATTAAATTGTTTAAATGTTAAGAAAGCGAAGTATGAAAATGAAATATCTATATTTAAATTACGATTTAATAAAAGATTATTTCATCTTGGTCAACGATTTTCTCATATTAATATAGACAAGCTTCTTCATATACAATCATCTTCGACCCGAACATTCACATACTTTTGCTCAAGACATTGTGGAGGATGGGGAGATCGTTTACGTGGAATAACTTCAGCATATATTCTTGCTATTTTATTAGAACGTCGTTTTGTTATTGATATGCAATATCCTTGTAATTTAACAAATTTTCTTCTACCAAATCTAATTGATTGGAAACCAATTTATCGTATAAATCAACAAAAAAATGATTTAAAATTAGATATAATGCATAATACATATGACGGTGAAATTGTTTCAAATATAGCTACTGGTAATCTAACTAAAATTTGGTTAAATTATGATAATATTTTTTTTACAACGAATGGTGATTTGATAAGTGTTGCTTTAAAAAATCCATTTTTTAAATTAATTAAAACACAAATTAATATTCAATCAAATGAATCAACACAACAACAATTATTTCCATTTCTATTTGAAATTCTTTTTAAACCGACTTCAATTATTATTGATAAAATTGATAGATTATTTGTAAAAAATTCTTTATATTTTAATCAATCAATTATATGTATGCATATTCGAATTGGACAAAATCCAACTTTACAGAATGATAAAAAAGTACTATTTCGACAATCAATTGTTCGTGATATGTTAAAATTTATTGATAAAAATTTAAGTCATTCAAATTCATCAATATTTGTTACAAGTGATTCATATCAAATTCAACAAGATATTTATAAACATTATGGTGATGATCGGTTACTAAGTATATCTGGTCCAATAATTCATATTGATCGATTCAATACAAAAATGGAATCAAATGAAACAATCTATAATGGTTTTGTTAAAGTTATATCTGATTTTTATTTTTTAGGTGAATGTGATACACTTCTTAGACCTCGAAGTGGTTTTAGTGAATGGGCTGGCCGTCGACGATTAAATGAATATTCAAATTTATATATGTATTGTCGTGGAATACATCGAGTAACTAGTTCGAAATGGCGACGGCCACATAATCTGTGTTAATTAGTTTATTTTACATAGATATGGAATCGAATAGATTTTCTTTATTAAATAAAAAAAGAGAGAGAGAAAGAGAGACAGAATTGAAGTTCAGTGATATTTCATTATAAGTATATTTAACGGACTGGAATTATTTTTTTTTTATTGTCTGTACATGATGAAATTAATAAAATGAGTATTAAACATGATAATTTATTTTTTCAACAAAGCCATAGCAGCAGCAGTCAGACCTAGAAAAAATAAATAAATTTTTAGCATTATTTCATTGATGTAATGATATAAAATTTAGCCGAAATAAAAAGATCTATATTTCCATCGTTTGATTATCATTAGAAAATAATGTGACAGTCTGATTTGTATTTTTACCTCCGACAAACAATAATGCTCCTGCTCCTATAGTAATGGCAATGCTAACATGAAAAATATAAATTCTATTATTTTCTTACCTCCAACAAGTAATGCACCTGCACCTACAGCAATACCCATACCAACATCTTAAAATATCAAGTAAAATTTATTTTATTTTGATAAATAAAACTAAACATACATCCTTCACGAGTCATACGTCGTGTTATTTCATCTTTGAGATTTTTGGCTTGATGATTACCCGGTTGTATAAGAAGAATAGCATCAAGAAATTTTAATGCTGTTTCATATTCATTTAATCGAGCATTACCTAAATTTGAAAATGATATTCATTAAAATCTATTGTATATATTTCTGTTTTCAATCAAAAAAATAAAATAAAATAAAATAATTTTTACCAAGTGCTAAATAATATAAATAATCACGTTTAGCATCATCACTTTTTGTTCCATCATATAATTCACGAAGTAATTGTAAACCAGAACGTACATCACCTTTAGCTTTACTTCGTACAAGACAATAAGCAAATGAAAATTTATTTTGATCTGTTACTTGATTTGCTTCAGCAGCTTTTTGATATACAGCTCGATAACGTTGAATTTCTTCAGGTTGAACAATATCATCTAATAATAGTTGAGTTTCTTCCATAATTATTTAATTATTAATAATAGAAAAATAAATGTATCTAAAAGTGATCTATAATAAAAATGCGATAGTAAAAGAGTATGTTAGATATACAAAACAAAAAACAGAAAAACGAAATATCAAATATGAGTCATTCATGATGTGTTAGTAAAGTGAATAACGACCAATTCTTTCTTTTTTGTTTTCGCTTTCGTATTTTTCATCGAGAAAAGGAAAAAAAACAAGCACATATGAAATAAAGCAGAGAGAAATAAAATAAGTAAACTGTTGTTTTTTTTTCAGGCAGAAATTTTCTAAAATCTGCTTATTTAATAATCGAAAGAAATATCGATGTTATAATTTACTTTTGTTCCTGGCTATACAAGCATCATTTCTATGAAAGAAAAAAAAAAAAATCTTGGAAAAGAAATTTGTAAAGAACATTGTTTTAGAAATCGAAAAAAATAAATAAACAAACAAAAGACAAAGAATAGTAGCAATGGAGTTCAAAAAAAAACAGAATTGTTCATCATCATCATCATCGCTAATTATTATAAGGTCGAAGTAATTGTAATACTTGTTCACAATTTTTAATTGCTGTAGCTACATCTTCATGTTCAAGAGCGGAATTAGCATAACGACATAATTTTTGTGCTTGACTAATAACATCAAATGGGACGGCTAGAAAAGAATACACAAAGTAAAATCAAATCGTGTAAAATATTTAGAAAATTGTCAATTTCTAGAATTTCCTTCTTATGTTTTTGGTTAAAATTAATTAGAGAATTGATTTAGAAATCTTGTACATTTTCATTTCATATTACCAGTAGAAAAAAATTAGAAAAATATGGTAGTCACTCAAAGTTCCGCTACTACGTAGAAATTATTAAAATTTAAATCGTTTCCTCTGATATTTTTACTATCAACAAAGCTCAAAAACTCGGATAGCTAGCACTAACTCGAGATCGATCAATCTTGATGCATTGGATTTAGAATTAAAACACTGGCTTTATAGATGTTTCTCTGCCTCGTCACTATTTCTAAATATTAATATCCGTCCTTTTATTGGCAAATCAAGCTCCACATGTCTTTGCTGTATTCTTGATAGGCAACTTTAATCTGCTACGATCCTGAAGCATGGAGATATTTCTATTATTGAAAATGGTTTTCGCATAGAAAAGTTTTTTGTCTAAATGAACTTTATGCAAATAATCTCAAAACTATGAGGCTTATTTATGATTCAAATCCATATTCTTCAATTTGATTTCGCATCAAATATTTTTTTCTAATCCTATCATTATCATTTCTATTAATTTTACAGAACCATAGTTCATAAGATAGTATTAACTTATTTTCTCATTATAATTCTTCTTACATTTATTGCCAGTATTTTCATTATAAGCAGATGCAGCACCATATGATGGTGGCATTTGTGGCATCTGTGCTGGATATTGTGCTGATGCTGAAGGATATTGTGCGGATGCTGCAGGTGGTTTCGATGGAGGCATTGCATGAGCATTTGCTCCACTTTGACTATCAGCTATATGAATACATGAATCAATATCAATTAGTTTAAATAAAATCATGGACTTACGTGGTCTCATTGCTGATGATGAAGCACCACCACCACCACCACTTGCACTACCACCACCAGCTTTTAAATCACGAAAGATAGCTACTGCTCGAGTTTTAGCAATTTTACCTAATGTTAAAAACTAGAAAACAAAAAGTCAATGATTATGATAAATTTTCTATTGTTTCTTACATCTTCTTTAACTGGTCCAAAAACTGAAAGAACATCAGTTAATCCTCCAACAGTATAATGTTTTCTCATAAGTAAACGTAATTGATCAGGTGATTTTATTTCTTCATTTTCAGCTTCATTCGTTTCACCAACAAGAACAGTTATTAATTCTTCGATTGTTGCTTGACCAGTTGAAAATGATTTAATAATTTCATCGTTTGGATTATTTCGTTTTGTCTAAATGAAAAAAAAAAAATTTTATAACAAAGCTTAGCCACTGTGAATACATACAGCTTCAAGATAATCAAGTACATTTGAAACAAATTGTTTTTCTTTTTGAAGTTTAAGTGCTTCATTAGCAATAAACATAAGACAATAATATGTTATAGATATTGTTTCTGGATTTTTTTCATATTCTTTAGCTATACCAAAATGTTGCATTAGTTTAACACGTAATTCTTGTGGAATTTGTGATGCTAATGTCTAATAAAATATATTTTTTAGAAAAAAAAATATTTTTCTTTTGAAAAATAAAATTCTTACATCAAGTGCAGACATATTTTATGAAAAATGAAATATATTATTATATCTAGAAAAAGAAGAAGAGAAGAAGAAGAAGAAGAAGAAGAAATGAATTTTCTTTTTTTCTTGTTTTTAAAAAAAGCATGTTTATGTTAATAACAGATAACGATTTCATTTAAAATAGTATGTCCTATGATTCCATACGTTCTGTAGCAATAGTTGTTCGTGGCTCAACACTACCAGGTGGTGGTGGTGGTGGTAAATCATCACCGCCAGTAACCTAAAATTTGAATAATAAACAATAAAAAAAAAAACAATTATTTATTAAATTCATTTCATTACTAATGTATCATCTTGAGCTTGTGGTGCACGTTCATCACCTTCAATTGCTGTTAAATAAGTACCTACACGAGCATCATCCAATATTGTAAATGGTGTATCTTTACCAACAACAGCAACAGCACAATTCTAAATTAAAGCGATTGATTGATAAATTAACAGTTATTAGTAAAATTCTTGCGAGATTAAAATATACAACATGATATAACTGCTATTGCCTATGATCATATTATATGAGCGTTAGAATTTCGTAGTTCCACGAAAACTAGAACCGAACTGAATAATTTTATGAAGCCGCCGAACTTTAGTAAGCATCCAGGCAAACTTTAGGTGAAAAAAATTGAAAGTACAATTTAAAAAGAGTAATATATACTTTGACCTATGGATTATTTAATGACATAAAAGTTTTAGTTTCATTTGTTAGCATTAGTCGAAAAACTCTGCTAGTATGAATTAAGAGTCTTCTTTTTAACTTTGAACGAAAAAAAATCAATAAAGAAAAAAACATTCGTGCAAAATAATCTAAAACTGAGACTTGTCATTCTGTGGATTCTTAGAAAAACTCTTTCGCTTTTTTACTGTGTGGGACTCAAAAAAAAGTTATTCTTCTTTATACGCGAATGCTTTTACGAAAAAATATGTCTAGTATAATGAGTTTGCACAATTTACCAGAAATTTATATTAGAAGAAACTTCTACGAAACATATCTCCACTTATAACTTCGATATATACACAAAGATCTAGATTTGACTTCAAAGAAACGAGTTTTTTTTGATAACGTGAGATATCTAGAAAATAGATTTATTAAAAATTCGATAGCTTAGTCAAATATGAATAGAAACACAAACTCGTTTAGGATTTTTATTCGAACACGTTTTTTTTAGTATCTGTAGGCAAAAAAATTCATTTTTCTCGATGTCGAAATACTTTTATTGAATACTAACTTCATATATGGAAACAGGATTTACTAATCTTTAATTTATTAGCCTTGTTATAACAAAATTTTTTCATATATGAATACATTGAGGACATCTCGATGATTTGTCAGTAAAAAAAAATTTTTTTCTATCAGCTTTGGCTTTTTTAAATTATATCAAAATTTGAAAGATGATAAAGCTATATTGAGCAGAAAATACAATCTCTGTAAGTTATAAGAATACATAAACGTCTGCTCTTCAGAAATGCAATAAGGAAATATTTTATAACAAGATATTATTAATAAATAGTTTATGATATTCATATGATTTTGTTTGTCAAGGTCTGCGGAAGATTTAAATTGTTACTCAGATACTGCAACACTTTTTCTAGGTTATTCATCACCAAAATCAAATTTAACTTACTTTAACAGTAAGTTCAACTTCATTGGGTAATGTGTCACGTAATGCTCGCATACAATGTTTAATAAGTTCATCTTGATTAGAACTAGGCAATTTATCTAAATTTTTTTCAAGATATGTTCGTGCAGATTGAGAACGTGCACCAATTGCCATTGATTTGCATGAATAATAATTTGCTGATGGGCACAATTGATATAAATGTGTACCTTTTTCCTATAAAAGTCACAAGAATTTTAATTAAATTTTAATTCATTGAACATACATCATAACCAGCCATAAGAAAACCAACACCAAATGGACGACGTCCATAACGTTGTGTTGGAACTTGACATTCTAAATAAATTCAAAAGATTGTTACGGATAAAAGAAAAAAATAATAATAATAATAGATGTTCGTACTGTTGCTAACATTATTCATTAATCGAGTAACCGGCATTGGTTTATCGAATGCATATTGATGATTAATACATTCAGTACGCATGAATCGACTAGAAATAAAAAACAAGATATGTTTTTTATATAATTTATTTTCTTACCAAAGAATACGAGCATCTGATGCTAAACCAGCAATTGAAACACCAATATGATCATCAATAAACATGATTTTCTTTTGATGAGCCGATAATTCCGATGGTGCACGCTATATTTAGAAAAAAATTCAAATGTTGAATTTCCATTTCTAAATATAATTTTACTTTTAAAGCACAAAGAACAACATGTGTATTAGATTTAACAGCTACAGTAGCTGCTCCTTGTTTAACAGCTTCCATGGCATATTCAATTTGATAAAGTCTTCCCTATATTAAAAATAAAATAATAATAATAATAATAATAATAATATAATTAAATATTCTTATTACTTGAGGACTCCAGATGCTGACATCATGATCGTATTGATTACGAAACTAAATTTAGAATTTAAAAGAAAAAGATTTAATACATGTGCTTATTATTTAAGTTTTTACAATTACCATTATGAATAATAACTCAGAAAGAATGTATCAGTTGAATTGTTCTACAAGAAGGAAAAATAGATAGAATAGCAAACAACCAATAATAAAAACAACTGGTTTGCAAAGTGTGTCAATTGAATGAATCATTGCATAGGATAATTTATCGAGATATGAAAATAAATATTTATTGAATGATTTGTCAAGATTTTTGATAATATTTTCATTCAGATATATCTATCAATAATAGATATATTCAATTTTAATTGAAACATTTAAGTATATGATAGATGACGCTAAAACACATTGATTGAATGCTTCTGTAAACAGATGTTTGGCAGCAGTAGGGATTTTAGAATAATTCATTTTATGTGAGACGTTAGTCTTAGAATTGTAATCGAACATAGTTCAATTGATACTATATTATTTTTCTTACTTTGTCAATAATGTTGCTTCAAAACAATGATTTTTTTTGTAATAAATATTAAATTATAAATACCTTTATTTCAGTAGCAGAACTATCATTTTATGTGACCAAATTATGATGAACATTTGATTACCATTCTTTCGAAAATATACTGCAGTATAAAGAAATTTATTATAAGCAGAGACGTAATTTAGAAGGGAGACTGCATGCGACATGAAGCCCATCGGCTTCTGAAATTCGTTCACACAACGCTCTTTTTTTCTGGTACTCAATCACTCTACCTTTAGTGCTGAGTTACTTCTTTGATCATATAAAATGAAAGGTTAATGGTTATAATATTTACTATGTTGTCAGTAAACTAATGAGGAAACATTCCTGGGTGTCCGCATCATCTTGAGCTGATATTTTGCCTATAAGTAGGCTTTGGTAAGCTATGACAAGCTTTCAAAGAGTTAATACTGATTTTTTGTTTAGTTTTGAATTGTTCGAGTATTTTCCATGCACATAAAAGTAATGACAAATGCTTTTTGGTCATTATTGAAAGTCAGTAGACTGTAAATCTTTTTAAGAGTGAATTTAATGTCATTTAGATTATACTAGTTAGCATTATGTTCATTCTCAAAGTTTCATATACATAGAAAAAACTCGAACAATTCAAAACTTGACAAAAGCATGAATCCTTTAGAACCTTGTCATACGTCACTAAGACCTACTTATGAATAAAATATGAGCTTAAAAATATTCCCTTTTAAATCTAAAAGAAATCCGAATACTTTCTCGAATAAATATGTTTTTATTTCTTTGTCATTAGCCAGACAAAAATATCGTTGTTAAGCATCATATATCAAGTTTTACCTTTTATACTTTTTAATCAACTTCTGTTTTGCCTTAAAATAATCCATACTGAAATATATTAACGTCATCCGACGCGATCGTTTCAAACAAAATTCATAATAAACCTTTCAAATATTTTTTGATTTCATTTGTCATCAAAGCCATAATCTTCAACGATGCATATTTACAACAGTACAGCATAAAGATTCACTTTTCTTTTTTATTTTAAAGAGATCAACAACTATAAAGTTTCAAATTTTATTCTCCGATAGCAATGCCAAGTGGTATATGATCGATAGATTTGATATGACGTCTTTCTTGAACTAGGAGGTTATAGCCATGGAAACCAATACAATGATGCATTATTCTTTTTACATAGACTTATCTTGCTCTTTGTTTTGAATTTTTTCTTTCGAAGAACTTAATACAAAGAAAAAAAAAATGGCACGTGTTCGATGTTGTACAGATTTAGATAAAACTGTGTTAACACAAAATTTTGATAAACGTTCTTGGATTACTGTAAGTCCTGATGAAGATTGGAATTTTTATTGGTTAGTCAAATTATTTATATTATTTTTTTATTCGAAAAAAATAATATATTTTTTTTCTATATAGGGCATCAGTTACTACTGTTCGTTCAATATTTAATCCTGCAAATGATCATCCTCGTTTAACTGATAATCAGTAATTAATTAAATTTATAATTAAATTTTATAATTTAATATAATTACTATGTAGAGTTATTAATCATTTTCCAAATCATTATGAATTAACAAGAAAAGATTTAATGGTTAAAAATATTAAACGATATCGTCGAGAACTTGACAAAGATGGAAATTTGATTGCTGAAAAAGATGATTTAGGAACACATAAATATCTTGGTAAAATTTATTCCTTTTCTTTTTTTTTTCTTAAAATATTCATTCGCTTTCTTTTTATCGTTTAAAATTTATAGATTTCATTCCAGTTACTTATATGATGCCAGCTGATTATAATTTATTTGCTGATGATTTTCGACGAGATCCTAATCATACATGGATTATGAAACCAGCTGCTCGAGGTTTAGAAATTTTCTTTTTTTGTTTCTCAATTTTTATTAATTATATTTCATCATATTTAGCACAAGGTAAAGGTATATTTTTAATAAATAAAATGTCTCAAATTAAAAAATGGTCACGTGATGGTAAATCAATACCAGCAAGTATGACGAATTTGTTTTTTTTTCTTATATATAGAAATTTAAATATTTATTTTAGCTGCACCAACTCGAGAAACTTATGTTATATCAAAATATATAGATAATCCACTTTTAATTGGTGGAAAAAAATTTGATTTACGTCTATATGTTCTTGTTACATCATTTAAACCATTAAAATGTTATTTGTAAGTTTTATTTTAATCTAAATTTTATCATTTCATTATAATTAATCTTTTTTTTTCTTTGTTAGATTTCGACTTGGTTTTGGTCGGTTTTGTACAGTTAAATATATTTCATCATCAAGTGATATTGATAATATGTTTGTTCATTTAACAAATGTTTCTTATCAAAAACAAAGTGTAAGACTACTAAATAAATTTTTATGTTTTTTATTATTAAGAATGATAATATTTAGGAAGATTATAATTCAATACATGGAGGTAAATGGTCGATTGATAATTTAAGATTATATCTTGAAGGAACACGTGGAAAGAAAGTAAAATTAATTTTTCATTCGAAATATTTTTATTTTATTAGTCTTTCTTTTCTATAGCTTACTGATCGTTTATTTGATGAAATGTGTTGGATTATTGTTCATTCATTACGTGCAGCATCTGCTGTTATTACAAGTGATAGACATTGTTTTGAATGTTATGGATATGGTAGATTATCGAGATAAACTTAAAAAAATAGATAAATTTGATGTTTTTTCTTTTGATAATTTAGATATTATTATCGATGATAACCTCAAACCTTGGCTTATTGAAGTCAATGCATCACCTTCACTCACGTCTACAACAGCCAACGATCGTATTATGAAATTTAAACTTATCAATGATGTTCTCAATATAGTTGTACCAAATGGTGAAATTCCTGATATACGAAATAAATTTACAAATACAACACCTGAAGTTCTCGGTAATTTCGATGTACTTTATGATGAAGATCAAGCATGTTGTGAATTAAATGATAAAGATTATCGTGACCAAAAAGCTCGTGGTGGTATTGTACCATTAGTATCAAAAACTGGTATGGCACTTGGAAAAACAAAACAAGCATCAGCATGGAGATAAATACAAACAATTTAATGAATTTTTTTCTTTGTTTGTTTTGTTTGGTCGTATTTTGTATACAGATAAAGAAAGAAAAAAAAATTAACAGAGAAACAGACTTATACTAGATACAACAAAGAAGAGAAACAAAAAAAAGATCATTATTTTTTTTTTAAGATCCATTTGAAGCAGAATTAGCCGTTGTTGTTGGTGGAAGAATTTCTCCTCGATCACCAGACATGGCTTCAATACCAATATCATCATTATATACATGTTCAGCCTATGAAAAATAAGAAAAAAAAAAGAAGTTCAGTATTTATTGATTGTATAAAAGTTATATAAAAGTACTATTTGCCAAACTTGAGCCATATTATCTTCCGATACCGAACAGATAACAAAAGGTTCATTTGGATTCCATGAAAAATCTGAAATTTTTGCCGCATGTCCACCATGAATAAACTAAATTATGTATCAAGAGAAAGTATAAAAAATAAAAAAACAAAATACAATAAAATTTATTTACCAATAATTCCGGTGGTCCATCTTCAGCTTCAGTTGGTGTTTGTGATTGATTAATTCGACTATATAAAATTATTATTCTAATCAAACAAAAATCCTATTTTTCTTTTTTTTTTTACCTTAAATCCCATATATGAAGTCGTCGATCTGATCCACTTGATGCAAATATAGTCTCATTTTGAGGTGACCATTGTGCCTAAACAATATAAATTATATTCAAAAACTAATATAATATCTTTATTTATACTTGAAATATTTCATCTTTATGAGATTCAAATGTAGCTAATTTTATTTTTAAATTTCTTATATCCCATAAAGCAAGTGTTTTATCAGCTGAACCAGTTAAAAGTATATATTCCGAAAAAGGATTAAATGCAATCTGAAATAAAAAGAGAAAAAAAAAAAAACATTTTTTTTTTCTTCAATGAAACAAAATTTCTTCTACTTACACAATTAACTTCAGCTGAATGTGCATCAACAATATGGCTAGCTTTTGAATAATTATTTGATCGTGTATCCCAACTAGAATTGTATATTTAAAACTAATTTTGTCGTATTTTAATATACTTACATCATCAATTTTTGATCATCACCTACAGAACCAAATATTGTTGGATGTGTACAATGCCATGCAACATCCTAAAAAAATAAAATGATGTGTTTTAATATATAGTGAATGTTTAATGTATAACAGAATAGATTGAAAAGACATGAAAGATTTCAATCTTGATTTGTTTTTTAAAATAGATTGATTTGACTTGTCAAAGGGATAGTTCAATGGGCAAAAGTGGAATATTTTTCAACAAACCGTCTTGGATACGGCATTAAGAAAAGAAAGGTGTGCCGGGCAAATTGATTTATTCGAACTTAATTTTTATTGACTTTAACATATAACTAATTTAAGATAAAGATAAAGATAATGAGTAATAGAGATAGCGTATTGGTTTTTTTAAACACATTGAAAGAGTAAATGACATAGATAACAGAGGAAGTT